GAAGGCAAGCTGTTCCACTGGTTGATTGTTCTCACTGTTAGGAAATTTTTCCTTAGGTTGGTTCTCTCATTGATTAATTTCTATCCATTGGAAATTAATCTGTCAATATTACTGATGGATGAAGGGCACGGTTCATTGTGATTATCTTTCTGGTCTTCGTATTCAGGGCTTTTAGTTCTGCTTGAGTCCAGCCCACTATTCCAGATGTGTATCTAATGGCTAGAATTGCCCAAGTTTTAATTGCCTCAATGATATTTCTTTCACTGAGTTTGGGCTTTAGGTTCTTATTCTCTCTATGATGTATTATTATTGTTGTTACTGTTATTTGTATAGCTAGATGTAGGAACAGTGGCATTAGGAGTAGAACAGACTTGCAATTTACAGAGACTGTTCTTTTTGAAGAGAAAAATGCTTTAGACCAGGCAACTTTAAGTTTGCCCAAATGCCTGTGGATAGGTCCAAACCCCATAGCAGTCAATTAGATTTATTCCATTATAAGATTTTGTTTATAGACTTCATTAGAAGTCTCCTGTGGGTTTGAACATTGATCATTAAGACAAGGGCACAGTTTGCTACTTTGACCTCATATCCCAGCAGCCAAGATTAATTAGAGGGGGAAATCCAATACTGCCCCTCCTCAGTCCAAACTTCTTAATGACCTCTTAAGCTCAAGTATTAATGAGGCAAATATGGAACGTGAATATGTAGATGTCAAATCTCAGTTTGTTACTAAAGGTTTGGGACTCTTGTTCCTGGCTACTGTTTTGGGACAATTCAACTGCCCTCGTTCCATTTGCAAACTAACCTTTATCGATTTCTTTTCATAGCTTTCAGGACTTCCATATGCTTATTTTTAAGCAATTTATTTCTTATTCTTCCTTGCTGTTTATGTTGTTATTGATTTTGTGAGCCAGTTTGAGTCCACACTGGAGGGGGGGGGGAGATGTGGAATATAAGCTTTTGAAAACATAGCATTTCATTTAACTATTTCACTTATGCCCCCAACCCAAATGGTGAATACCAGTGTATTGATGATTTTAGTTTTTTAATTGCTCCCATTTCCTCTTTAAATTTGAATACCTTTACATTTTAAAGGATTTTTTTAAATTTGTAAGCTGGAAATGTGTGCGTGCACATGCTGCACATCTGAATTTTTCCTGTATTGTTATACATTGGCTGCATTCTTTCTTCTCTGATAAAATAATATATAAACTGCATTCTTAAATAATGAGGCCAGGTATGTTATGATGCATTATTTTTCCCTATCATATTGATATCATGACAAACTTTCCTGGCATGCCTTTTATCCTAATGTTACTCTATTAGACATGCCCCCAAAATGCTAACATTAGCTTAGCTTAAATCCTTTATTAATTGGGCAGATTCATATTATAGAATCCCCCAATGGTGCAGACCCCTGAAGATTGCAAATATGTATGTAAGAACCTTCAGCCAAAATAGCACTAATGAAAAAAATAAAAACAATAATGAGAATATCATTCCAACAATGGTGAGCGATCCAGTGTAGATGGTATAATGGTATAATGTACTATTGAAGAAGTAGCAGTATTGTAGAACTACAGTCCCTAATAGCCCTATCCAGTATAGCTAACAACAGAAAATGCTGACAGCCTTAGATCAGCAACATCCAGAGATCAGCAATGTCTCCATCTTTGCATAAAAGTGTTAGATTATGAGACACAAATTCAAATCTTCCTTTGTGTGGCCAGTCCTCATCTCCTAACTTACCAAAGGATAGAGGGAGATGGAAGAACCATGGATGTCACAAATGATAGGAAATATAATCTTTACTATAATATTTAGATGTAACTTGATGGTATTAAATCATGGTAACATTTTTCCCCTTTGCAACCTTTTTATATCTGTGTATGCATTCATGAGTGCACCTGCATGTTGTGCAAGAGAAGTTGAGATGGCTCACAAGAAAAAAGCTGTTCAATTTAGCTGCTCCTAAAAGCACTGTCTTTTAGACATTTACCTGGACAAACATACCACTGAACTCAATGGGACTTAGTTTCCAGTAGGTTTGCCACTGTTAGTGTACCAGTTATAGAATACAGCTGTGTTCTATATGCAGAAAAGCTACTACTATATATTTGAGTAAAAGGCATGTTTGACCTAGCTAATTATCCTTTCAGAGTCTCTCACAATTTTCCCTTCATCAATAATTTACTTGCCAAACTGTGGAAGAAAAATTGTACTTATAAAGCCAGGAGACATGGTTTAAGCCCTGCTCAAAATAATTTATAAACCTATATAGTTTAAATTAGCATTGTAGACATTCCATAGAAAACCATTTCTTTATATGATGGAAGATATTGTCCAAAGCATAGATTATATCTTAGACTTTCCAGACAGATTTGCAAGAGAGAGAGAGAGAGAGAGAGAGAGAGAGACAGAGACAGAGACAGAGAGAAAGAGGTTTCCATAATGCCTAGACTTAACTCACTTTAATCCAAGTATCCCCCAGTTAATTAAATCAATATATATCTCTGGTATGAATAGCTTCTTTACCATCTTGTTAAAGATGTTGCTAATGCTAAATATTGCTTAACATGGTGCTTCCACAAAATTACAAGGAGAGAGAGACTTAATTTATGACAGAGCATAAGATGGGGTTTTCCTAGAATGTGGAAAGTAAATTCAGATCCCCATTAGTCATGAAACTTATTGGTTTACCTCAGAAGTAGGGAATTATCATATTCTTACCTCATAGTGTCAGCTTTTTTGAACAAATCTGGGATAAAATAGCTAATAGCAACAATTACCAGAACAAACAATCTAAAAGATAAATCTATTCAAATCCATGGGATAATTTACATTTGATTGATTTCATTGGTTTAAGCAAAGAATGACTACATATGTATGTAATCCTATCAGGATTATTATTCAAAACTGTATTTGTGTCACAAAAGTATTGATGAGCAGACAAAATAACAGGCATCTGCATCCATACAATACCCTTTAAATTTCCACGAAGAAATTGCTACTTTGGTAATTAGATGAGAGTCAGCTATATAATGTTTGAGCTTTCAACCCTGCTCTCACAGAGGAATTTCTTCCTAAAATCACACCCACTTCCACAAAAGAAACATGATTAGTACCTTCCTCTCCTTCATTAAATGCTCTGGATGCAGAAGATGCTCATTAATGAACTTTGTCTCCTTCAAGGGAATTTCTAGAGTGCCAAGCAGGCTGCTTCCATTAGCTGAGTGCATGTGGACTCTTTTCAATTTTTAATTTCGTCTTCAGATGAAGGCAGCCAGAGTGGTATGTTGCCTGTCACTGGGACAATCAATTTCCTGCAGACCGCAATGCAAAACGCACCTTGTAATGTTAGGCCTGTGATTTTTTCTAATGAAATCTTGTTTGAAGGGAACTGAGAGCCCGCATTTCCCACTTTAGTTTTTTTTTTTTTTTTACTGCAAGGCCTGACAAATTTATATAAATCAAATCTTAGCTGTTTGATACTTGTTCCAGAAAGAGAAGGAAAATAATCCACGTCCTTCTATTCAGTAGTCTGCCTTCTTTTTCATTTTTTTTAAATCACCCTTATATATAGAATATATGAGAAGCCTATGTTGAAAGGAAACATAGGTAGCCAAAAGAGCCTACAATTTATAGAGATGTTAGCCACTGAAGCAAATCAATAAAGTACAATTATTGGGCATAAGGAGCACCACTCTTTTTATCTCTACCTGATACGCAGACGAGTAGGAGATTAAAAGATCTCCTGCTTAATTTCTGTATGCATATTCACTTTCTATTATAAAACAGGACCAAGGCTAGCAAAAACAAGTTGGCAATTCAGAAAACGCATAGATCATGTCTGTATATATTCTAAAATTCCCACCAATTTCTTGTCAGCCATTGCCCCCGATGATTCCCGACTGAGTTTTAAACTTCTCTGAATTTCTCAATTTTGATCTGAGCTTGTAGAAAAACAGCTAAAGGCAAAACAGGGGGAAAAAAACTCATTACAGCTGCACATAAATATCCCATTTTTGCATGCCCATTTCAACTGAGTGCAGAAGCATCCAGCAGAAGGCAATAGGTGGTCCTTTTAAACTTTAATGATAATTTTGAATGTGAGAAAAAGGGAAATTAGTAAATACTTGAGGAAGGGGACATCATATTAACTATACATGATTTTATTTAAATATAAAGAAATCCAATTTGGTCTGGTTCTCCCCGTTCCTATTCCAAAAGACCAAAGGCTGAGCATGACCTTCAACAAGGAAACATAATTGTGATCACCTGCCTGCAGCTGGATTGCACCTGTGGATTTTCAGATGTTTCTAAGCTGACAGACTCCTGTGCCCAGAGATGTTCATGGTATGCAGACAAAGCAAATTCAGAGGTATCCCCAGGTAGCAACAACAGACTGCTCTCATACATACAAAAATTAAAATATCCAAAAGAACAGATCAGCCATCAAGAAGAAGAAGAGCCCAAGATAAATTGGTCACCAAAGGATTGTAGGCAATATTTTTCAGAGAAAGCACAGTTAAAAGGTAAAAACAGTGGTAGAGAGACAGACAAGTATACATAGTGTCTCCTATTGTAAACTGGAACGACAATTTCTTAATTTCAGAATTCTTGGCCTCTGCCTATCCTGGCTGTGGATAAATAATGTTTTGAAAAGATTTCAGGAATGCATGCAGCTTAAAAAAAATTACCACCTGCCAGGACTCTGCCTTATTTTAGATTTTTACCTCTCTAATTGATTGGTGCTGTCATAAATCATAGTGTAAATGATCTTTAGCATTTGATTTCAATATGCAGGTGGCACTGCAAGCATTTGATGTATGTCAACAGCCTAACAGATGAGTGCATTGTTATTCCTCCTATCTCATTGTTTACATGGAACTAGAATTGCTTTGGTGAAATAGGCAAATTAGGCAGGACATAGCAATGGGTTCTTTATGTGTGACTTAAGTTATTATTATTCTTTCCCATCATCCTATTTCTAAAGATGCACAGGTGATTTCCCTTGGCGAAACCCCATTCCTATAGATGATATTTCCGTAAAAGTTCAGATTGCCAGGGATGTTTTCGTTCTGGAAACCTGTCTGGGATTTTGATTTTGAGGAAATCCTGGATGCATTTTTCTAATTCTTCCTCAATGGAGAGCTTTTCTTTTGCTGCTTTTTTTTTGCTAGAGTTGGATTCTCTAGAGCCAGAAGTTAGAGTTCGGAGCAGGTCACTTTTCCTCCGGATTTCAGACTGCTGAAGGAGCTGCACAGGACCTTTCTTGATTGGTCGATCCAGAGTCTGTATATTGGATTGGCGAGTGACTGGGCCACAGATGACAGTCTCTTGAGGGGAGCTGGCTTCTGATTGACTGTCACAGCTAGAGGTGGAGAGTTCATTGCAAGATGTGCCACTTTCGCCTTCTTTATCACCTTTGCCATTTTTGCAACAGCAGTCACAGTGTGAGGATGACCATCGGGATGGTTCACCTGGGAGAACAAACAGAGGGAGCTTAGAGTTGCCAAGAAGCAGCCATGAAATGCTTTTCTTCTCTTTTTTAACCTACTGTGTTTTCCCCAAAGTAAGGCCTACATGGAAAATAAGCCCTAGTTTTGGAGCGAAGCACAAACCTAAAAATCAAGCTTGGGCGAGGGTGGGGGTGTGAGGCTGCCCCACATGCCCTGCACCCACTTACCTTGCAGCCAGGCCTCTCCTCTCCAGTCCACTTCTTCTCCAGTGTCTTCTGCAGCCAGGCCTACATTTCTCAGTCAGCCTTTCCAGAAAGCCTCTGCAGCCAAGGACCGAGCTATGGATTCAATCCATAGCTCAGTTCTGCAAGATCTCTGCAGCCGAGGACCAAGCTATGGATTGAATCCATAGCTCGGTACTTGGCTACAGTGGCCTTCCAGAAAGGCCTGACTGCAAAATGCAGGCTGGAATGCAACTGCAGAACTGCTTCTTTGGCTGCAGAAGAAGTGGGCCTGCTGGGAGGGGCTGTCGGTGCTGGAGGTGAGTAAGACATCCCCCCAAAATAAGACATTGTGCCTCTTTTGGGGGCAAAAAATAATAAATAAGACCCAGTCTTATTTTCAGGGAAACACGGTGTTAACACATTTGGATTATAAAGCATTGGGTTCACCTAGGATTTTGGAAGCAAGATAAATATAAGCAGTGAAAGAAATGGTGGGCAATGAAACTTCAAAAGTGTTGGAAGCAGGAATAAAGAATTATCTGGAGGGCTAGAAAAATTGGCTCATCCATCTTATTCTGGAATATGCCAGATGGCTTTCAAGTTTTACAACTGTTTGTATTAGATTAGTACAGAAAGTCAGAAACTTTGGACCATAATCAAGCAAAGGACTTTTTTCCCCCACCGATATCATCCATTAATATCGTTTCTCTTAATGCTAATACTTTCACTAGTAATATTTCTGGATACCTTTGGTGGTGTGTCAGATTTAAGATAAAGACTGCATTGCTACAAGGAAAGTTCTTAGTGGTTTACAAGAACCTATGTATGGCAGGTACTACATACAAGTTCCATTTCATTTAACAGAGATTATCTAGCTGCTATATAATCATAAACAGAATTGCAGTCAGAAGCCCTAAACAGAACTGTGAGGTTTTGTTAGCAATGTTAAAAGCAAAGTATAAATAAAAACCTTCATTTCCTGCAATTTCTATGGATTAGCAGCATAACTAGATTTCCTCCTGGATGAGATGCTAAATTGTGGATTTAAATATCACCTATCGTTAAACAACAACATTTTCATTTCCCAACATGTAAGGGTCATAAACACAGAGATTAAACCAAAATTAATTCCAGTTGTTGAATATAGAGGGCAGTTAGGGCACAGGTTTGATAAATGAAAATTGAGGAAGGTGAGATCCAGTGGTGGGATTAGCCAGTTTGCACCACTTCAGCAGAACCGGTAGCTAATTTTTTGTTGCCCAGGCCCAGAATGGACTTCCGGAAGCGGCACCCACGCAGAGAACCGGTTGTTCACATATTTGAATCCCACCACTGGTGAGATCACTTTGCATTCAAAGGCCATTTCAATCATTCTGTAACATTCAGTGTGATTTATATAAACAAACCAACCAGAATCAGATATTGTGAAAAAGTGCACTTCTAACTACAAAAAAGCAGAAAATGAGTTCAATCTACTCCTTAGCATCAATTTTTATTTTTTTATATGTAATATTTTTTACAAGGAGAAGGAATATGCTGGGGCTTTATTTGGTAAAGGAACAAATATGCTTCTCAACTTTTGATGTTAGAGTTGTATCCTTTGTTGCATATAGCCACTAAAAGCTTTGTGTCAGCTCCTAAAGGCCCCGAAAAGTTGTTATCATAATGCAATACACACACACACACACACACACACACA